GTTCTGGCTTATAAGTGGAAGCTAAACGAAGGATATATATAGTCATAAAGTGGTATAATGGACATTAAAAAGTAAGAAGGGGGTTAAATAGGAGGAGCATGGGGGATAAAATTCTGCTTATTGGGTACAATGTACACTATTCTGGAGACGGGTACACTGAAAGCCCTGACTTCCGCGTTATACAATTCATCCATGTGACATAAAACACTTGTACCCCCTAAATCTATTGAATTTTTTTAAAAAGCTTTCTCCTGAGCTTTAAACTCAATAGTCTGAAGATATCTCCCCTTGGATGTTCCTCAGATGTCTCTACTCAACAGATCTGAAGCCAGAGCTCCTGTCTTCTTCCAGACTCCCTGTTACCTATTCTCCAAGTCACGTATGTCAGGAATCCGCAAGGCAGCCCAATTTCTTTCCTCGGTCTTACCAAAGGAGCACTGGCTTCAGGACAGACAGCTCTGAGTTCAAGCATCAGCTCGCCATTTACAAGCTCTGTGGCACTGAGCAAGTACTTCACCCACCTAAATCTCATTTCCCCTATCTGTAAAATGGGGGTAGTAATGGTATCTACTGCATTGGGTTATTAGGATTGAATGAAATGATGCACATAAAGTGATTAACATATTATTAGCATGGAGCAAGTGCTCAATGTATGTTAGCCATGATGAATCACAATAATAAGCCTCTAAATAACTCTTGGGAAAAAAAGATTATAAGAATATTTCCTTTAAATCAAGTTTTCTTAGTTGGGTGGCTTACCAATTAGCTTAGAATCACTGCTTTAAATAATAATACACAATAAAGAATCCCTCTCAAATAGCTTTCTATTTTATGAAAAAAACTGACAATAAAAATTATTACAACAATCATTAAGTATTGTCATTAAAGTTTTGGCCAATGCATTCAGACAAGAAAAATCTATTAGATTTAACTATTGAAAAGAATCCAAACTGTCATTTTTTGTGGGTTATATAATACACATTTTTGCCCTAGAAAACTAGAAAATTATGTGAAAAACTATCATTAGTTGCCTTCAATGAATGCACAAATAAATAACTTTTTAATACATGAACAGTAAAGTTATTTTTTTTAAAATGCCTTTAATATGAATAAAACAGTGTGTTATTGGCACCCAGACTGAAGAGA